TAAATAAATGCATAAATAAATAAATTATTAAACTGTTTATTATACTGAACAATTGAAATAATTAAATTAATTTTAAGAGGCTGCAAATTATTAAGAATTTACTTGAAAAATATTTAACTAACCAGTAGTCAAGGAGAGGAGACTGATTTGCCTACTCTAGGTGAGATTGAAAAGGCGATTAAGAATATGAACAACAATAGATCTTTTGGACTAGATAGAATAAAAGCTGAGCTTTTGAAAATTAAGGAACCAGAATTGATCGGGGCAATCCAAGATATTATATGCATGATATGGGAATTAAATACTTGGTTGCGGGTTTATTTATTTGTAAGATTTTAATTAAGGATCATTAGGTAATTATCATTATGAAAGATAATTACATGGGTAATTATCTTTTATTTTTATCCCTACTGGAAAATTACATTTCAAGGATTTCTTTTTAATAAAATGGATGACTTTTTAACCACAATTGTGTTACTGTTAAACTATTTAATAAGTCAAATTTTTTTACTAAAAATATAGACGTAAATTATTTTTAATTTAATAATTATGTTATGATTCCTTTTAATCGTACATCGGTGTCATGTAGTACTCTTTCTTACTCATTGTTTAGCAATGTTGCTTAAAATATCATATCTAAATGGTTCAAATTTACGTTTAAATTTAAGCACGATTTATAGAATAAAGCATATCAAGACATAAGACATTAAGACATACATAAAACATATTAATTGGATAAATTGCGCATATAATATCCTTCATATAATTCATGGATTTCAGAAACTCAAAATGCTATGTCAATGTTTTTTTACGAAATTTATAATGCCCAGAACTTGCTGTTTAAACACAGAAGCTCTTGATGCTGCTTAGTAAAGAAGTCAATGAATGCAACAAAAATCATAAAAAGAATATGCTTCTTTTCAAGCTTCATTCCATTCATATTGATAAAATGCTAATATTTCCCTATTCTTATCAAGTAAATTAAAATAAAAATAGGAACTGATTTGAAATTTAATGCTTATTTTTTTAAATCAGTGTTGCGTTATACATTCGATGCGAAATGAATGATAAATTAGTGTAATTAAAGTCCCTTTGTAGTTAATGACATTAATTATAACTCTTGGTTACTTTCGATAATTTCAAATAAACACTTTTTTTTGATTACGAACAATAAATAATTTCTTTTGAAAACTATTTATAGCAATGTGAATAGCAGAATATTATAATATTTCTCTCTTCACAAACGCCATCACAAGTATATATTATATGTGGCACAAAAATGAAGTGTCATGTTTATATTATTCATAAAAATCTTTCACGACACCTATAGCATTCACTATTCCATCTCATATTCTTTCTACCAATCTGTCTATTCAGTTTGTCTGAATGGCTTGAAAGAGGAAAGAGATGTTTGAATTTTTTTATTATATTTTTCATTATGACCTTAAAAATTTTTTCAACTCCTATTTTTTTCAATTATTTTGGATAAACATTTATTTAATTTGAAACTAAAATAATAATTTTTGCATTTTTCATATTTGCAATAATACTAGTAAATCAAAATATTACGCTGAGTTTAGAATATTTCATTTCTCGCTTCACAAAAGCATTTGTTATAAACTGACAGCACAATGAACTGCCATGCTTATATTTTTCATAAAGACTTCTCTTAATACCTATAGCATTCTTTGTTCCATCTTCCAGCCGCCCCACTCATCAGTCCATTCAGCTTTTCTGAAAGTCTTGAAGAAGGGATGAGAAGTTCTATCATCTGTTCCGTAATAGCTGGCGATCCGCCCATCTCCCTCACGTGGTACAGAAACAGCCGTCTTCTAAAGGAAACATCTCCAGATATACAGATCGTGCCTATTACGGATTTCGTTTCCTCCCTCATCATTAATCATGTGTCACGACACCATAGCGGCAACTACACGTGTTTTGCCTCCAACAGTGCTGCTGCCACAAATTACACTGCAACCATGATCGTAAAAGGTGAGTGGATGATTACTGGCGTGGGGTGGTTTTATGCTGAGAGATAATACTTCATTTCCAGTGGATGTAATATTCGACAAATACATTATTCGTCTACCTCCTATTATCTGTTTTATAGGTTTGTAGGTGGAGATAGAAAATTTAATAGTATTTACCTACCCTTAAAGATGTTTGCGGTAGCACAGTGAAATGAAGCTTATTAAAAGTTTACGAAAAGTGTTTACCCTTTCATAGTACTACCATAAGAATATTATATACGCAAATTTTTGAGTTTTGGCAATATGTTTTTAATTTAATTGTAGGATTTCTAGATTAAAACGTGAAAATTCACGGGCAAAATATTTAAAAATGGGGAAAATATTTCGTAATTTATTTATTACGGAATGGTTGACAATAAAGCTGTAATGGGACTTTATGATATTATTACTGGCCATAACTGATTACCTTTATGGCCATAATATCGATGCTGGTTGCCATCATTGATATAAATGCCACACTGTTATCTACAGAATATAAAAATAATTGCACTTTAAGAGGTAAATATAAATGTCTTGAACTCTCAACCATTACATAAATAAAAGATTGTGATTTTAAAGCTATGATTAGTCATGCTATTGAAGTTATTATCTGATATCTTCTTATACAGTTTGGCAGTTAGGATAAGGTTAAAGAAATAATCATCATTCGAAATTAAACAATTTAATTGTTTTAGCTTCTTATCCGAAAATCAGTTCCAAAATTACTAAGATTATAAATAAATTTGAGTTTAAAGTCGTTTTCTCCTTGTAAATAAACTAAATTTCATTAACCTTAAGCACCATATTGCTGATATTTATAGCTAGGGTATTTAAAGAATTTCATCCCAGATTGATCTTGAGTGCACTGGACGTGTCCTTAAGCTTCAACTGAAAGGACATGAATGATATGTTCAAAATCAGGACGTTATCGATCTTCTATCGCTCTATAGTTAGAATTCAAATCCCAGGTTTGATTTTACCTCGGCTAAAATTATTCAACACTACTCTTCCTCTTTCGAACTTGATTTTTGAGAATCATTCTATGTCTTGAAAAATTCCAATAATTTAGTTAAGGATCTTCCTAACTTCGAACCATTTCCTAATATTTGAAAACCTATTTTTAATTAAATCTGTTGCACCTTGGGATTCCTGCCAAATTCCCCACGCCTGTTGTTTTACCTCCTTTTTCATTTTCTCTCTCATACTTGATTCTTCGAACCATTTCCTAGTATTTGAAAACCCATTTTTAATTAAATCTGTTGCACCTTGGGATTCCTGCTAAATTCCGCCACGCCTGTTCTTTACCTCCTTTTTTATTTTCTTGTTCAAACTTGATCCTCTGTCCCTATTGGTTAAACTACTCTGCATGCTTTTGTCTCTTTACTTTCTGTAACATCATTTGGTGTTTGGACACTGAGAAAGATACTTCTTTATACAACTGAAAGGATGTCCATTTATGCACCTTTTTATGCCATAGCCTTTGCCTTTTTATGCCAAGCTGTTTCTTGCTTTGATCTACGAATAACAATGTATACCCCATCCATTGTTGGATAAATCATCTTCATGATCATATTTTACAAAATATACATTGGTATATTGTTTTTTGCAAATGAATCTTATGAAATAATACAATTTAATGAAACTGTATTTAGTAATTCAACGATCAAATTATGTATCAAAACTATTAACACAAAATACTTTAACAAGTGACTATTCTTTCATCGAAAAGTTAAGAGGGAACAAACAGGAATTCAATTTCTTTTACATTTAAAATATTGCGATTAAGTTAAATTAAAATGTTACTATAATAAAATGTAATTGTGAAGTTAAAATGCTGCGATTTCGAATTTATTTATTCGATTTATGTTATGTTAGTCAATAAAAATTAGTTAGTCAGTCATTAGTTTCTTATGTTAATAAAAAGTATTATTGTCCATGAATTAATAGTTTTTCCATATTGAGAGGGGAAAAACGAATCGTAAAAAATAAAATAAAAAATCGAATTAATCAGAGTCATACTCAATGAAATGCTTCAATTTCAAATACTCATAAAAACAAAAATAACGACATTTTGAAATACCGTTTTAATTTTAAAAGGTTCATTTTTTAAGATACCATTCGTAAATAAATGCATGCACAATATTAATATCCTTCCTTGTTAAAAATCAGGCAATGAAATTAATTAACTTAACTAATTCTTATTTTTATTTTATAGCTTTGGAAACCTAGTTGAAAATTTGGAATGTCTGATAGACATTGGCAAGGCGCACAATGTTTTTTTAAAGATAGATACTCAGTTTTTCAATTAAACCTAGTATTTTCTTAATAGAATAACAATTTAATAAAGTAACGAATTAAACTAAATAAGATAAATGAAAAATATAAGAAGAAGAAAAAAAGACTCAAGTCTCACTTATAAAATCTTCAGAGTTTACGAATGTAAAAAATAAACATATTATTCTAGAGACATATTATTCTTTTCTAATTAATGTAATTTAGTCATCCAAACGAAGTAATTAAGAATAAAAGTATTTTTCTTTTAATTAAGATATCTTTTTAAAAAAATAAAACTGAAAATTTTAAAATTCTAATAGACATACCAACAGAAATGAGTACAAAAATTTGTATTTTTATATAAAAGAAAAACCTCTTGACAATTCTATCGTAATTAATATATTTTCAAATTTTTTGCTTATAAAAAGAATACAAAATTAAAAGCAAGTCCAATAATCTAAATAAAGAAATATTAACATATTAATATTTAAAAACACAAAAATAGATTATCTAAAAACCACATAGATTGTGTGCTAAGATCAGTATTTCTAAAGACAAATCTTTTCACATTTGCACTTTCATGCTGTGCATAATAAGTTAATTTTAGAAATACGTACACCAAATGGCGTTTTTTCCCTTCCACACACAAAAAAAATTTCATGTCGTTCCATTTAAATTCACTGAAATCTTAATGGAAATTGATTTCCCATTTCATATACGTTCCCTTACTGTGCATTTCAGAAACTTGATTAATACTTACTTTAGTTAGGAACTGATATAGATATTTTTTCTCATTTTATGGTGGTGTATAAATCTTAGTGGTGCACGAAATATGAAGAAAAAAGTGATTCAACCATGCAGCACTTACGGATCCATTTGTGATATTGAAATTTGTTTTAATATTCATGAAGAAGAATATATTGATTAAAAAAAAATTTTCTTCGGTTGTCGTATCTGTTTCTTTGGAGTTTTTATATGGATCTTTTAATGGAATTTCTTTGCATTTTCTACCCAATTTAGCGCCACCAGTTTGGGTGATTAAGCCAAGCGATCAATCAGCCTTAGAAGGGATGTCTGTCACCTTTGATTGCCAGGCTGAAGGCCAACCAAGACCAGTTGTACGATGGAAATTCGGAAAAGGTAATATCAGCATTCCTGATATATTTTCCTACAAAAAAATATTTTTTGCTGACAAATGTAAATAGAAGGGTAAAGTGCATTTATCGACATGGTTAATGGCAGAGGAAATAGAAGCATGTACTAGCATAAAATCCAACTCTATATGAGCGTAGAAATAAATTAGTTAAAACATTTCATATACATTTATTCCATTTTCAAAATTTCCTCTTCAATAAAGATTATAAACTGTCCATCGTGCTTGCAAAATGAATCGAACTATTCATTTTGCAAGCATAATTGTTATGATATTTTATTTTATTTTTCTCATTTATTTTATTTTTTATTTATCTATTTTTTGTAAACTCTTAAAAAAACAGTTTAACGTTCGGTTTGCTGACCAATAATATTGATAAAATTATGCAAATTAACTGTCAACTTAATAAAATTTTCTCTAAAATTATTTTCCACACTATTTAAATTCCTCTATTCCATTATTAAACTCCTATTTAAAGCATAATAACGAGAATTCATGTTTATATAGCATAACGAGCTATATTTTTGATTCGACTTGCACTATAATAAATGTTGGACAAAATAATTTACTAATAGTAGTGTTGAAAATTCTAATAACTTTTATAAATAAAAAATAATTTTAAAAATTGTATGTGGAGGAAAAATTCTGGTAAAATTAGCGTATTGTATGGTAATGACATTTTTAGTTAAAAAAAGAACCTAATATTAAAAACTAAAATCTACCATATATAAGAAATTCATTTCATTATTTTTTCGGTTGATATGGTAACTATTTATGCTTATTACGACACATTAATATAAAATTGAAAAATAGATTTGACCGAATAAATGGTTTTATGCCATGCTCTGAGGTATCATGATGAAATTATCAATTTTTTTCACTTATAATAAAACTATATGTAATTGTTTATTTTACGAAAATAATTATCAAAGTACTTCGATACATTTTACCAAACAATTTAGTATTTGTATTGCGTAGTTTCTGTAAAAAGATAAATTTTACCATAAGCTGGTAGTTTTGACCATCTTTTTTTCTCAATGTATTATAAATTTTAAAAATAATATAGTTATAGACAAACTGCTCTAGCTTATAAACTCACTTACTAGCTGACTGCTAAAATATTGAAGTCGATTTCCTGATTTTTATTTTTTAATTTAAACTATTTAACTTATAAATGTTAAGCAAAAATGTCGCTAGTGTTTGCTCGTTATTTATTATTCCTCAAGAATACCAAAGCAAAATCTCGTATAAAATTCATAGTTTTTAATTGAGATGTATTGTGTTATATTGTAACTCTATAAGAAGAAGATAAAATTAAAGCACAATAAATTAATTAACATACAGTGACATTTATGACACATGCTGAGTGCCTCACTAATCAATAAATAATTTCGAAGATTAAATATATATATTTTTTTTATTTATTACAATTCTTAAATTTTTTTTCTAATTTAGAGATGAATTTTCTTTCAATAATGGAGAAAAAAATCGTTAAATGTTTTTAGATCTAACGACAGTAAAATAGTATGGAATTTTTTAACAATGAAAATATCTCAGAAACTAAGAAAAGCGTAGTTCTTAACTAAATTCAGTTTTAATTAAGGAATTATTTAGGTCAAGTCAATCGACTATGCTTTTTTTCTATAGTTTTATAAAAGAGTGACTTACTAAACGGAATATCTATTATGCTTCACTAAGATATTAAATAGAAAATTTTAATTTTACTTAAATTTTAATCGAATAATACAATCAAATCCAAGTTTTTTTAAATCATTAAATGAATGCTAATCTTATAGGCAAACATATTTTTTATAGATCATTATGTTTTATTTTCCATATGATTATGGATGAAACACTTATAAAATGCTTGAGCACTTTCCCAGAGTTGTCGAGACGATATTACCGGGCAGTACACAATTTACAGGAGATTTGTGAAATATTAATGAAAATTTTTTTAAATTTATTTTTATTTAAATTTTAATGTTTTAAAATATTTTTACAGTCAAACCTCAACCCATCGTTCCCGCATTGTTTTTTCCCGTATATATCATCTTTTTCTAACGGTCCTGTCGCAAATATTCTTAAAATGTTAAGTATACCCGTTTAGATCGTTTTTGAAACTAGCAGATTTACGCCTCAATCGTTCAGAAATTCTAACGTCATTTTCCAAGAATATTGAAAAGAATTCATTTTGAGACGAATAGCAATATTTTCTGTAATAATGAATATAATGAATATGACTCCAATAGTAATGAAGAAGAATATGAGGATTTCTTACTGCAAGGGTAAAAACGCTTCAAATATTACAGTTAGTGTTCAGTTGATGAACATGTTGAAACTTTGGTTGTTGGTTCAAGAAAAGGTTGCAGAAATGCAATGTGATACCAATGGAGACAATGTTATCAGTTATAACCAGGTCTTTAAGTCTTTGAAATAATAAAAAACTTACAGTGTTCATATATGATATTATTACAGAAAATAAAATATCTATCGGTTACAAATGTCGAAAACTTATTGTTAGAAGAAAATTTGTGTAAAATAAATTAAGTAAGTAAATATGTTTCTGCATCATCAAAAATTTTGCAATTAGTACATAATTCTTTTAATCTTTATAATTCAGAACTTTCTATTATATTTTATTCGTGTTAATAAAATATAATGGAAAATTCTGAGTAACTCTTACCTGATTAATACCTAAAAAACTAAAAAATTACCTAAAAAATGTCACGTTAAAGTATCTTTTAAATTTATTATTTAAACGTAAATATTTTTTTCCAAATTACAAAAGAAACTTTATAAAAACATGAAAACATTCGCATTTTTAAAGTATTTTTAACAATATTTTATCATAAATAATGAAAGTTTCGTTTCTAAAATTGATTTCTTATAAGAAAGACATTTCAAATATTCCGATGAAAAAAATATAAAGGGACATATTTTACTGAGAAATACTTTCCTCAGATAACAATCTTGAGTATTCTAAGACATTCTAGGAAAGAAACTGGAGAAAACAGTCTTGATTTCAACTTTTCAACTNTATAAATGTTAAGCAAAAGTGTCGCTAGTGTTTGTTCGTTATTTATTATTCCTCAAGAATACCAAAGCAAACTCTCGTATAAAATTCATAGTCATAGAACAACTGTTTTTAATCGAGATGTATTGCGTTATATTGTAACTCTATAAGAAGAAGATAAAATTAAAGCACAATAAATTAATTAACATACAGTGACATTTATGACACATGCAGAGTGCCTCACTAATCAATAAATAATTTCGAAGATTAAATATATATATTTTTTTTTATTTAAAACAATTTTAATTATTTTTTTTAATTATTTAGGTCAAATCAATTGACTATGCTTCTTTTTCTCTAGTTTTATAAAAGAGTGACTTTCTAAACAGGAAGTCTATCAGGTTTGACTAAGATATTAAATATAAAATTTTTATTTTATTTAAATTTTAATGGAATAATACAATGAAATCCAATTAAATCATTAAACGAATGCTAATCTTGTAAGCAAACATATTTTTTATAGAACATTATATTTTATTTTCCATACAATTATGGATGAAACACTTATAAAATGCTTGAGCAATTTCCCAGAGTTGTCGAGACAATATTAACGGGCAGTACAAAATTTACTGAAGATTAGTAAAATATTAATGAAAATGTTTTGAAATTTATTTTTATCTAAGTTTTAAAGTTGTAAAATATTTTTACAGTCAAATCTCGACCCATCGCTCCCGCATCGTTCTTTTTCCCGTATGTATCGTCTTGTTTTAACGGTCCTGTCGCGAAAGTTCTTAAAATGTTAGATATATCCATTTAGATCGTTTTTGAAACAAGCAGATTTATGCCTCAATCGTTCAGAAATTCTATTGTAATTTTCCAAGAATATTGAAAAGAATTCATTTTGCGAAGAATAACAATAACTCCTGTAATAATGAATATGACTCCAATAGTAATGAAGAAGAATATGAGGATTTCTTACTGCAAAGGTAAAAACACTTCAAATATTACAGTTTGTGTTCAGTTGTCGAAACTTGGGTTGCGGATCAAGAAAAGGTAGCAGAAATGCTATGTGATACCTATGGAGACAATGTTATCAGCTATAACCAGGTCTTTAAGTCTTTGAAATAATAAGAAACTTCCAATGTTCATAGGAACTTACAGAAAATAAAACCTCAATCTGTTACAAATGTCGAAAACTTATTGTTAGATGAAAATTTGTGTAAAATAAATTAAGTAAGTAAAAATGTTTTTGTATCATCAAAAATTCTTTTAATCTTTATAATTCAGAATTTTCTACTTTGTTTTATTCGTGTTAATAAAATAAAATCAAAAATTTTGAATAACTCTTAACTTAATTGCCCAAAAGAATGTCACGTTAAAGTACTTTAAAGTACCTTTTAAATTTATTATTTAAACGTAAATATTTTTTTCCAAATTACAAAAGATACTTTATAAAAACATGAAAACAATCGCATTTTTAAAGTATTTTTAACAATATTTTATCATAAATAATGAAAGTTTCGTTTCTAAAATTGATTTCTTATGAGAAAGACATTTCAAATATTCCGATGAAAAAAATATAAAGGGACATATTTTACTGAGAAATACTTTCCTCAGATAACAATCTTGAGTATTCTAAGACATTCTAGGAAAGAAACTGGAGAAAACAGTCTTGATTTCAACTTTTCAACTTCGAAGAAAGTTCTCGTATAAAATTCCATGTATGCATTACTTGCTGGCTTCATGACAGCTGTCGACTTTTTTATAGCCTTAAGCAAACAGCGTAAACTTAATATCTTTGATAGCAACTGAAAGTGCTTAAATATTGATATTAATCCCTTTTTATCATCTAAGATTGTGGAATTTCAATTAAAATGTATAGTTGCATGCAATTAATTGCTTTCGAGATCTCCATATAAACACATTTTCAAACATCTAGTTTGTAATATTATTCAATACACCACGCTCAATCAC